ACAGATGGAGCATCCATGATTTCTGAAGGCAAGCTGTTCCACTGGTTAATTGTCCTGTTAGTTTCTCCTTAATTCCAGGTTGCTTTTCTCTTTGTTTAGTCTCCAACCATTATTTCTTGTCCTGCCCTCTGCTGCTTTGGAGAATAATTTGTCCCCCTCTTCTTTGTGGCAGCCTCTCAAACCCTGAAATACTGCTATCATGTCACCCCTAATTCTTATTTTCTTTAGACTAGACAGACCCAAAACCTGCAGCTGTTTTTCATATGGTTTAGTCTCCAGGCCTTTGATCATCTTAGTTGCTCTTCTCTGAAGTTTTTCCAAAGTCTCAACATCTTTTAAGTAGTATGGTGACCAAAATTGGTTGCAGTATCCCAGGTGTGATGTTACTACCATTTTGTAAAGCGTCACTAATACTTCATGTGATCTTGATTCTATGCCTCTGTTTATACAACCCAGGACTGTATTAGCTTTTTTGGCTGCTGCTGCACATTGCTGGCTCATATTCAAGTGATCATTCATCATTCTAGGACAGGGATGTCAAACTCAAGGCCTGGGGCCGGATCCACGGGCCGCCCTAGAAACAGCAAAGGACCGGCCTGCAGTGCCTCTGCCAGCAAAAATGGAGCTTGTGAGGACCGCAGGTGGCCCTCCTAAGCTTTGTTTTCACTGACTGAGGGGTGTAGGAGGCCGTCGCAGCCAAAAACAGAGCTTGGGAGCATGTTTTTGCTGGCAGAGCACTTGGGCTACCACAGGCGCCCCTGACACAAGTGATGTAGAGCTGGCCATACCCATCCTGGCTCCCCGAGGTCAAACACAACCCTGATGCAGCCCTCAATGAAATGGAGTTTGACACCCCTGCACTAGGACTTAAAGGTCCCTCTCATAGTTACTCTTTTTAAGCCAGGTCTTGCTTAATCTGTACTTATACCTTTGATTTCTCCTGCCTAAATGTAAAGTTTTGCTTTTATCCACATTAAAATTCATTTTGTTGGATAGGGCCCATTATTCAAGTTTGTCAAGCTCTTTTTGGATCCTGAGTTTGTCTTCTGGGGTGTTGGCTATTTCTGCCAGTTTATATCATCTGCAAATTTGATGAGTTCTCCTTCTATTCCCTCATTTAAGTCATCTATAAAGATATTGAAGAGTACTGGGCCTAAGACTGGGCCTTGTGGTACTCCACTGCTTACTTCTGTCCATGTGGATGTAGAACCATTAAGGACTACTCATTGAGTACAGTTTATTAGCCACTTACAAATCCATCTGGTGGTGAGGCCGTCTATTCCATTTTTCAAGCTTACCAAGAAGTAGATTGTCTAGGTCTATTTTGTCAAACACCTTACTGAAATCTAAATATACTATGTACACAGCATTTTGCTGATTTACTAATTTAGTGACTTTATCAAAGAATGAAATAAGATCTGTTTTTAACAAACCCGTACTGGCTAGTAGTTATTACTTTACTTGCTTCCAGTAGATCTGTTTTTTGATTATCTGTACACACTTACCACTCCCACGGAACCATTCCCTCCCCTCCTCTGCTGGGCCACCAAGCTGGAAAGGGTTTTGGATTGCTGTTCTAGAATATGAGCTATTCCACTCAACTTTTGCAACATGAGAAAACTATATAAGAATTCCCTTAATTTCTTTATCCAAACATTAATGAACATATTGAAGATTAGAATGCATATGATTGTATATTCCTACATTCAATATCTTTTTCATTCTGATAAGCATTATAAACCCTACGTATGATGTTTCAGGCCAGACAGCTTTTTATCTCCTTAACTATCATGCTACTAGTCCATGTTTGACAAATAATTCATTGACTTGTTTTGTGAAAAATTCCTAAGAGAATCATTAGGTCTGAAATAGTGTGCTTGTTCTAATTCTATAGTGTTTTTGCAGTAGTCTTTTATCTCAGAGTGCATCATCTATTAAAATATTCAAACAAAGGCTCCCTTTTTTTTTCCAAAAAAATCTGTTATGGGAATCAAAAATGCTAAGATTTCCAGAGGTCTTTCCATTAAACTATAGTTAAAATATTGAATAGTCAAATGATGTTGGACTTATTGAACTTTTCATAAGAATTTAGTTTTTAAACAATTTTTGAATATTATTACGTTGGAATTTAGTATGAATTATTGGAGCTCTTGACTGATACTTTCAAGAAGTAATGTCTTGCTCTTTCATCCCATTCTGTAAAAAAATGCTGCAGCATATTTCTTGGTTAACTTTTGTGTAGAGCCAGTTGATCTAATGGTTAAGGCACCAGATTACAAACCAAGAAACTGTGAGTAATAGTCCTGTCTTGGTCATGAAGCCAACTGGGTGATTTTGGGTGAGACAATTTGTTTCAGCATTAGGAAGGAGGCAATGGCAAACTAATTCTAAAAAATCTTGCCAAGACTACATAGAATGTAGTCCAGACAATCTCTGAGAATTGTCACAATGGAAGAAAAAATATGGAAATATCTGTACAGATGCATATGGTAGGAGAAAAATGCATAAAACTATTCATTTTCTACAATTAATAAATATAGATGGAACAGATTAATGCTTGAATCTCAAAGACTAGCCTCTATCCTCATATCCCATAGAATAGAAGCATCAAACTCCCAGCTTGCGGGCTGGATACTTCATGTGCTGGACACGCCCATGCTCAGTTTAGCAAGGGGCAAAAGTCCCAACACATCATGTGATGCTGCTGTTAATGCCACGAGTTTGATACCCCTGCCATAGAGGAACATTATAACAAATTACATAATCTGATGAGGAATTTTACCATAGATATATAGGAGAAAATGCACAACTGTATCAGTAATATTCAATATAGACCTTATCTATGATCCCAGATATACAAATCAAACAATGCTTCATAGTTCAGAGCTGTAGCCATTAAGCATTACAGATGTTTGGTTACAATAAATACATGTACAATCACTCTATAAGAAAGATGAGCAGTTTCTAAATTTTATAAATAAAAAAATGCAACCATTTTTGTGTGATGTTATTGATTTTCTCAGGAAAGAAATACTTTGACAATCTTCCAGAAAATATTTCTGGCAGCCACGGATGTTGAAGTTTTGCTTACCAACCTCCATTTATTACATTCACTTTCTGGATGGCAGATGATGAAATATACCAGCCACTTTATTCTGGAAGTCCAGATTATTAAGCATATCTGCATAAAACTGGGATCCATCCAATACATATTATACAATCAACAGTTGGAGCCTAATGCTACAGTACTGTCATATATTTTCTGATCTGCCAAATTAGCATATATATGGCGGGCATTTCAGTCATATATCCTCCCAATGAAGAAAAGCCCAGATCAACAAAGCTAGCACCAACGAATAAATTGCTATAGAAGAGAAAGTAGCAGTTTCTTATCAACTTTTGTTTACAGCTAAAGCCAAAGTAATATGTACTAAAATACATCCTGGGTAATGATACGAATGCTATTGAAAGCCACACAGATCTGTTGGGTTTTTATTTTTATTTTTAAGAAGGATGACCATTTAAGTCTTTTAAATGAAATAAATAACTAACCTTCTTTCTTGTGGGATAGTCTTAGTCTGGCTTATAGCTAATTAAAAAAAAAAGCTTTACCGGTAGCCCTTGTTTAGTTACCACAGTTGCGAGCAGCAACTCATTTGCTATTTATCACAATTGCTGTGCAGACCTATGTCATTTCCCATTTGGTTGTTAAATGAAACATTGTGGTTACCACAATTTACAATTTGAGTCCATTAACTCTGCTTGTTGCAAGTCAGTAGTGAAGCACACAAATGGCAACCACATGACAGTGGAATACTGTGATGGTTGCAAATGCATGCTTTTTTTTTTAAGTGCCTGAGTGGCAATTCTTGGATTGTCATAAATGAAATGATTCATTGGAAAGTTGGGATTTTTTACACCATTGTAAAGTTGAATGGTCACTAAATGAGGCAGTTGGTAAGCAAGTACTTCCTGTATAATAATAAAACGGCCTAACAGAAGCAATCTAATAAAGAAAGAGAGGGTGGATGACTCTGGACTTTGCAATTAATAAACAAATAAATAAAGCTTTTCTATTATACTGATTCTGGTAAAATTATAAAAATACAACAAAAATACATACTGTGAAATGTGTGTATATATACTCTCTTTCTCTCTGTGTGTGTATATACATATGTGTGTACATGTATATACAACTGTGTAACTATACATATATCTGTGTAACTATACAAATTGTTTGATAAGTAAATTTTAGCCATTTTCACTATCTTTATTTTTAAAATGTTATATTGGTATGATAGACATCAGTATTTTCATTAGATTAATTAATAATCCTGTGCCTTTTATCATCATGCTATTTTACTTCAGATTTCAAAATCACTTATGCTATATTCTTGTATCAATTTATATGAGCATAAACTCTATCTAACCCAACTGAACTGATTTCCATGTTGACCCAAATAAAATTGTATTGTTAATTAAGACAATACAGCTGCATAGTTAGGAGAAGCACGTATGGCTGTCTTGAACCATTTTTTAAACAACTGTGTTATACATATATAGTTTGTGAGGAGTATATGGCTATATTTTGTTGTTTTGTTCTTTTTAATTTACTTTCCAGATTTGACCAATTTGTAATTCTTGTTGCAAAGTGTAAATTTAAATGTAGGAGGATATTTCTTGAGTAGTAGTGAACTGTGGGGGTGATATATTGTACTACAAACATATGATTCAGTGTTAATAACATTAGCACTTTGAATAATCTGACCCAATAGGATAGGTAAACCGCTATTTGACATAACACAGAACTGGGAGAAAGCAATTTAAAACTATGGTGTGTAACCAGAAACTCTTCTTGTAAGCCTTAATGAAACCTTACTTGTAGTAAAATATGTAACATATGTTGGAAATGAATATAATGTTGTGGTGACAACAGCAAATTCACATAAATAAAATTTTGCATTAAAAGAAGATAAGAATCTAAGATATGCAAAACATACATTAGGGCAGGATATGGTCCTTTGAATGTTATTCTCAATGCTCGTACCAGCCGCAACCGTCATCTGAAAAAGTGTGCAACAAAGAGTATACTGAATTCAAAAGTTGTGTTTGTAAAATAACACATATATTCAAATATTTAATGTCTTTTATTTCACACAATTGTAATTCTTAACTTATTAGGTATCACAACTTAGAATACCTCTAATCTTAAACGCAATTCTAGAAGGTAAAATAATGGTAAAATAATTATTGAATATTGGTTAAAATACATCATTAGTCAACTATATATAAAAATAAATATAAAAATCATGCATACAATTTGAATAACCAGTTTATAGGCAGCAGATTTTTTGATTGAATGGTATGAATTTATGGAGCAGATCTGTTTTAGGTCTATTGAAATGAAATGATAAGCAGTACAGTATTGTGCTTATACAGAGATTCTGTTTAATTAAATGAAGTTTCCACAAGAGAAAACCTGTCTCGCTTGTGTCTCACATTTTTATCACAATATCTTGCTATTTACACTTAGAAAGTTCAGAAAGTGCTACTTGTTTCACATTTTTATAAATATTATGAATGTACAGCCTTACAAAGAGATTATACCCCAACTTGTTACACAATTGTTTTATTAGGTAAGGTATGTCTTTTAGTACACAGGCACACCCACGGGCAGGGAGGGAGGGAGGGAGAGAGAGAGAGGGAGATTCTTCACAGAATAAGTTGTGAACTGATCTTTCTTTGCTCTTAGAAAGAATGAAATGTCTTGGCCATTTCCACAATCTTGTTAATTCAGGGCAATGGCTTTGCATAATTTCATATTTTGTTTCATTTGTATCTCAGGTTACTATAGTCATAATAACAAACAAAAGAGAGAATATATATTAGAGAGTGAAGATTTTCATCACTTCTTGTCAATACCATGTAAGGCAATGAATATATGTTGACATTTTGCTAGTCATGCAGCTAGCTTCTTCCAAACAGGTCTAAAATTGAACTTGGCAAAAGATCATATTTTGTTTATATTTAGTGGTGTAGAATATCCACAGCCACTCTTTAACTAATCACTGTAATTCTGTCATCTATATAGTGGGTAGCAATTGGTTGAGGGAATTCTATTCTATTCCATTGAACAAAAGGACATGGCATCTTTTACTAAGTTCCCTTTTAGTTGTGCTCTGAAGAAACTAGGAGTATGACTGGAAAAACATCAACATATACACATTGTTTCACCTGAAAGTCATTTCACCAATTAATAAATTATGTTAACATTCTAAACACCATATAAAAGTAATAGTTTATACTACACTCTCAATTATGCATTTTCTGGTCTATAAGATATATTTTAGCAAATCACAACATTGTTTTATTTGATATGAGTAGGGCATTTCTGTTACCTTATAGCTTTTGTTCTCACATATTTCATATTTTAAAATGTTCTGGAGTTTCTTTTTCTGTCAAAGCTAAATTACGTGTGGCATTAAATTAAAATGTTTTGGTACAGCTATTTCCAACTGTTTGCAAACGTTTATAAACACAGGCAGGGAACCAGATGAATTTACTCTATTTTGATCCCTTGTATCCCCAGGAAAGTTTCCATCACAAAATAGTGTCTCTGTAGAGCATTTAAAATATTCTAAACTCTTAGGTTCAAAGAAAATATTCAGGATTTCACAGAAGATCGTATTACAGGGGAAATAACAAAAGAAAAGAGCAGCATTTCTCTTTTTTCTTTTAAAACTTTAGGACTGAACAAAGGTATTTCCAGTTAAAACAGGAGTAGGCACATGTTGGTGGGAACTGGTTACTATGAATTTATGGGAAGAGTTTAAAAACGTCTCTCCTTTTCATTTATGTCTATAGCAAATCTATTTTATGTGTTACTTTATTTTTTTTCCTTTTGTGTTCTATGCTTCAAAATTGTGAGATATTAAAAGTACGAATTTTAGGCAGCTGGATGAGGGGACTTTTGGGGGCTATAAAAATGGATTTAATAGCTTCATTAAGTCCTGGAATTTCAGGTTGACAACCTTGAGTTCAAAGAAACTTTGGGACCAGAGGAAGAAGAAATACTAATACCAGAGATTTTGACATTGGTGTCAGATGTGTCAATAATCTATATTCATGATTTTAGAGGGCAAGACACAAATCAATTTCAGTGACTTACCACATTATGTGTAGAACAGCATCCAGAGTTCCAAATTCTAAATCTCTGTATCCGAGCAACTAGACACAGTGAACATATTTGACTTGCCATGTGGCATGCAGTCATTTCTCTGCTCAGCCTTGGCACTCAACTTTACCCAGGCTTCCATTAATAGTTCTTAAAATAAAACAGTGGCACAGATGATAACCCAGAGCCCTAAAGGCTTCAAGGCACAGAGCCACAGCTATCAACCCTTTCCTTCCACCATCCAGGGACCAAAGACAGCTTGACAGCTTCAATTAAAGGCAGATATGGCACCAGTGCTGCAGCTTCAGTGAGATCACAAAGTGATTGCAAGGAGACCATGCTGACAACATAGTGATCATGTATCTGTATCGGTCTATCTCAGCTACATTTACACTGTCATTGCTTCATTTTTTTAGGTATTCCTTCTTTTCAAAAGAAGCCCTTCATGATTACTGGAAGCTGAACAGATTTTATTCACACCATAATTTAAAGAGGGTGTTTCCCCTAAATCAAGTTAGCCTACGAATTCACTGGTACTATTATTGAAAGCACTGATTCCTTTATAACATACAATCTTTATTTATTATTATTTAAAAGTGCTATTTTGCTAAAATCACAATTGGTATTTTAATTGTTGATCCAATAGTTCATGTCCAAGCACCATTTCAGACATATGTAAAAAAAAAACAATAGTGATTCTGTGACCAAGAAAGCAGAAAACAACTGATTGGTGCCAACAATTGATACTATATTTTATAATAATTTAAATTGGCCTGTTTTTTTAAAGTAATGATGCCAAAGAATTCCAGATCTCAAAAAGTACGAAGCGATTTTCAATATTTGTAATACAATACAATACTTTGTGTAATAGTAGTGTGCCTCTTTCCTCAGTGCAATCTTAGGAAAGAGCAACTTTAAGAAAGAAACTATGTTTTCAGCAGAAAATCCAGCCTCCTTAAATTGTCCATTTGTCAGGCCTGCAGTCATATTCCTTGCTGGATCTTTGGCCTGCCACATTCTCTATTATTTTGCTATGCTGTTTCATTAGTAGGGAATTGGGAAGGGGAATAGTAAGGAGTAGAATGTATTGTTGTCAAAATAAAATTCCTTTCTAGAAAGCCAAGGCCATCTTTTGTTCTCTACATCTCTGAGCCTGACCGGATGGAACTGCCAGCGTTGCAGTAGAAGATTGGACCATGTGGTGGACTTGTGGGTATGGGGGCAAGATCATGAACTTTCAACTGGGTGGGAAACCCTGGGAAGCTTTCAGATTTGGGTTTCCACAGATGTGCCAACATGTCTCTATTAATAAATTGGAATTTTGAGGAAAGCTCTGCCTTGGACTCTGATTTAATTTTGGATGATATTTGGAACGGTGACACCATTCATTGCATCTACCCTTTCTAGTAAACTAAATAAGCAAGGTGATTATCAGAAATAAAAGAAAACTAATCAAACAAATTAAAATACATAAAAATATCAAACATCTCAATACAAATAAAAAGACTTATTTGAAGAGGTAGTAGTTCAAAAGCCATCCTTAACATTTAACTTACAAGACTCAATGGCTGCTGCCCTTTATACTACTTAGTTTACTTATTTATTAGGCTTATATGCTATTCTGATCACTGATAACTGTAAATCAGATTAAATAAGACAAAGTTACAACCTGAAAACCAACATATATCTACACACACACAATAGGAGTATTAATTATATAAGATGTACAGTATATCTCAATGGTAGAAATAACACTATAAAAGATCCCAACTTGAAAAGCTTAAAATATCCAAGTTCTAATGGATTTCCTAAAAAAAAAAAAAAAAAAAAAGGCCTTTCAGATTTTTGGTAAAATGCTGGTCGTGCAGGCACATACAATTGGAATTAGGCAATCTTGAAGATATTCAAGTATAGGGACATGTAAAGGCTTTTAAGTCAGCAGCCTAAAGTCAACTAGAAATAAATGTACCTATGATTACTTGAACTATTACATCTAGGATTGTAGTTCCCTGCACCATGAGATTAAGCTATTTTCTTTATTTGGCTCCTAACCCTATCAGCCTCCTGTCGATCACCTCCCATAGACCGATTAGATCACACAGGTTAGGTCTCCTCCGGATCCCATCTACCAGCCAATGCTGGCTGGCGACTCCCCTGGGGAGAGCCTTCTCTGTCGCAGCTCCAGCCCTCTGGAACGATCTCCCCATGGAGATCCGGACCCTTACTACCCTCCTGGCCTTCCGCAAAGCCGTTAAGTCCTGGCTGCTCCAGCAGGCCGGGGGGCTCTCGAAATATCCAGCCCCTCGGAAATTGTGACTGTTGTATATTTTAATATGTTGTTTTGTCTATTATCCCTCTCCCTTGTTTTATTGTAAGCCGCCCAGAGTCCTTTGGGAATGGGCGGCATACAAAATCAATAAAACTATAAACTATAAACTAAACTAAACTAAACTAAACTATCAGCAAGTGAAGGCTATTTTTGTTAAACCACCATTTTTTCTCTTAAGCCTAAGTGAATTTATTGATTGCTATCTGCCTTGGTATCTGCCTTGTTTTTCAGATGTTGCTTTTAATTTGAAAAATAGTTTTAGTTATGGATTCTTGATGAGTTTATGCTTTTTTACATTTTAAAAATACCTCCTCTTTGGTGGGGAAAAAGGAATAATAATTTTACAGAAATAAAAATAGTGTATGAAGAAGACTACACAGATGACTTCCAAATGCACATGACTCATTTTTTTCTATTCTCTCAATATGTTAAAAATCTGAGCATTTGAAGTTGTATTTATATGTTTTTTATATAATATTCAGAACTGCTCTTCGTCTGGTGAATTATACCACCCATTTTTTTTTAGTTCCATCAAAGTTGTTTTGATGATGTCATCTTAT